TTTGATAAAATTAATCACTCTTAAAATTAAATTAATACAAATTAGTAAATCATCAACTAGCTAAGCTTTCTAATTTTAATAAAATGTACGAAAAATATCTATTGCGACAAAAGGAATTATATTTGAACCAAAATAGACTTAATTCTTCAGAAGAACATCATTTATTAAAAAATGAGAAAGTAAGTAGTAATCTAATATATTTAATTTTTATAAGAAATAACTTTTAAGAAATAAATTTATCAAGTCGAATAAGTAATTAATTTTTTTTTATTTTTTTATTTTTTTCTAAAAATTTCATAACATATATATTTTATTATTATTATTATTATTATTATAATTACTATAGTTAAATGTGGAGAGCCAAAATTGGGTGTCAACACTCAACAATAACGACCTTTTGGTTTAAACACGAAAAGACGTCTGAAACTGACGCGATGAATGGGCGAGAGACACGTGGCAGTGACGTTGACAGACATATAATGTATCGTAAGTGATACTAACCTCATGAAGACCAGGTCCCATTTAGTATGTAGCCCTGTCAGTATGACTCGATCTTATCTTCAGCTAACATACCATGAGTGTATACCTGCATTAAGGTATCATAAGTGAATTCCTAAACGACATGCATTATAATAAGTATAGATACCTGCTCTCCTAAACATAATCAATTGGAAGATTTTGTGCAAACTTGTCAAGAAATCAGGTGATCTTGTGCATCCCCAACCTCAACCTATTTTTGATGAAACACTCTTTACTCAAAGGTTTTGTAAAGATATCAACCAGCTGATCTTCAGTTTTGCAGAATTTCATCACCACATTTTGCTTCTCAACATTGTCTCTTAGGAAATTATGCCTCACATCTATGTGCTTTGTCTTCTTATGTTGAACAAGATTCTTGGCCATATTCGTTGCACTATTGTTGTCGCATATTAGAGGGATTGTGTATGTGAGAACACCAAAATCCTCCAGTTGTTGCTTGATCCATAGAAGTTGAGCACAACAAGATGCAGCAGCCACATATTCTGCCTCTGCTGTAGACAATGCAACTGAATTTTGCTTCTTTGTCCCCAGGAGATTAGTAATGATCCAAGAAAGTGTGCCATACCTGATGTACTCTTTTGATCAACAAGAAAGCCTGCGTAGTCAGCATTAGCATAACTAATTAGATCAAGTGAATCACATGTTGGATAAAAGAGGACCAGGTCCTGAGCTGCCTTCAGGTTTCTCAGAATTCGTTTGGCTACTTCAGATGTGACTCCTTTGGTGCAGCTTGAAACCTTGCACACATCTCTACACTGAAGACAATGTCTGGCCTGCTTGTAGTGAGGTACATGAGTGATCCAATAGTTTCCTTACTTCAACACCGTCTTCATCCAAATCCAGTTTCACACTTGTGCTCATAGAAGTATCAAGAGCTTTTGCCTCAAGTAGATTATATTTTTTGAGCAGTTCTTTTATATATTTCTCTTGACATATTGAAGTGCCCTGAAAAGACTGTTTGATTTGCAAACCTAGGAAGAAGGTAAGCTCTCTCATCATGCTCATTTCAAATCCACTACTCATCAGGTCATCAAACTCTTTGCATAGTGAATCTGGTGTAGCTCCAAAGATGATATCATCTACATATACCTGCACAATTAACAACTTCTTAACTCTGGATTTTATGAACAAGGTATTACCAATTTTACCTCTTTTGAAACCATTTGCAAGAAGGAATTTTGACAGTCGTTCATACCAAGCTCTAGGAGCTTGCTTTAAACCCTACAAAGCCTTATCCAATTTCAGCACATGATTTGGTAGTTCTGCATCTTCAAAGCTTGGGTGTTGTTTTACATACATTTTTTTCTTTCAAATTTTAAAGGCCCTCGACTGGCGGGGCTGTTGTAATGTAAAGCCTAAATTTCCATTCAAGAAGGCACTTTTGACATCCATTTGAAATAGCTTAAATTTCATGTGAGCAACAAATGCTATCAAGATTCTGATGGCTTCCATTCTGGCTACAGGAGCAAAGGTCTCGTCATAGTCAATCCCCTCCTCTTGGTTGTACACGGAGTGTTGCTTCTTTGCTTATATACAGGTTCCGATTGACGGAGTTCGATCGATGCTTGCTATGTACAGCCTCCAATTGGCGGAGTTTGACGATATTTGTTATGTACAGCCTCCAAGTGGCGGAGTTTTTAACGACGTTTGCTATGTACAGCCTCCGGTTGGCGGAGTTTGATGACATTTGCTATGTACAACCCCAGACTTGTGGAGTGTGGCACTGTTAGACGGTGGTCCCCGATTGGCGGAGTTGTTGATGAGGTTAGATTACAAGCTCCAGTTGGTGGAGTTATTTTGAAAGAGAATTAAACATCCTATTTTACTACGAGGGCCCTCTTTTCTTTAGTATTTGATCCGGATCTTGAGCGTACCTGCAAAAAATTTAAATGAAATATTCTTAGACATAAGATGCAAGTTGAAGTACTTGGGGAAGATAAAGTAGGGAAAGAGTATTTTGGCTCATGATTGTGAGAAGTCGAATGGCGTGTCTGGTCATGCCCAAAACTTGATGTTGTTTCTGAATCCCGTGTTCCTGCACTCAAAGAAAATTTTAGTTTTGGGAGGGGGTGTTGATTTGCATCGACTCGTGGACTGAAAACTCGTCACTAGAATCCTTCGACACCTTGTCAGTACCGCACATAGTTTCTTAACCTAGAGACTTGGTAGGTGGATGAGTGAAAGAAAAAAAAAAATATTTTTGAAAAGAATTAGCTTATTTTTCTAAAAAAAAAATAAGTATACTACGTATATTAGGTGTGTGTGTATATATATATATAGATTGTAATTCTCCAGCGTTTTTAGATTATGAAATGTTCCGAAGTCCATCGAGCTTTCCATTTTGTTGACTATATCCAACATAGTCCTCCTGTAGCTTTTACCCTTCTGATGAAGCTTTCCTAGTTTTTTTGCAGACACTGCGACGATCGATATCCTTCAATATTTTGAGGTTATGCTAACTATGAGGAATGTTTCCTAAGGGTATGCAGGGCATCGATCGAGCCTGACTCAGGCTGCCTACGTATCCTCAAGATAGGAATCAGATCGTAACGTAGTTCAAATACAAAAGGGAGAAGTAGAAGTATGTAATGCAATGACCGAGCTTGACTCAAGCTGCCTACGTATCCAAGTGGAATCAGGTCGTAACGTAGTTCAAATACAAGAGGAAAGTGAAAAATATGAAATGCAATGACCGGGCCTGACTCAGGCTGCCTACGTATCCAAGCGGAATCAGGTCAGGACGTAGTTCAAATACAATAGGAAAGTAAAAAAAAAAATGCAAAGGGACTTAATATTTATTTTGATATTTTGCACAGTCTAGAAATTTATTCAAATACATATATTTTACATGATCGATAATTTTGGACCACAATTCCAAGCCCACAATTGATCTCATTTAATAATTATTTCCTATATAAATTTTGGTTAGGTTAAAAATAGGGGGTGGTCGATAATATTTTTAGGTTTAGGACTTTTCTTCAATCCTCATTTCCAACCGCCACCACCACACTACCCACAACCTTCCTCCTTGCTCGAGTTCCACCATTAATGGTGAACTCCGAGCTGACATACAACCTAACCCCTTCATTCTCCCTCTCCTCACCATTTTTCAACAACCAGCAACCAAAATGAAGTTCACCTTACCGGACTTCAACAGCTTCCCCCACTGCCAGATTCCAACCAAAAACCCCCTTTCTCCCTCAAAACGAGCTCAAGCTCGTAGGGAAAATCAAACAGATCAAGCTCCAACCAGATTCAACTCCAAACCCACTGAAAAAACCACCCACCGCCGGACAACAACCAGACCAACCACCAAACCAGCGACTAAAAAACATCGGAAACCACCTCCACAACCTCCAAAACAGACCAACGACTCTCTCCGAGCGGATTCCAGCAAACTGGAGCAAATGACAACAACACAACATCGATTTCCAATAGGAAACTCACAACCACCGTCCCCGGGGAACAAACCACGCAACCAGTAACCACTGGAACGCCACCACGGTCCGACGAAATGGATCTCCAAGCTCCGAAAAAACTCTAATCATCATCAATGTTGGTAAAAAATCTAGATCTCACCCTTTAATCTCATTCTAAGTGTAGATTATTATTTACCTCTCTCATATTTTATTGTTGCTCTTTCATATCGCTGATTCTTTAATTTGTTAGTACTTTATTAGTTTGTGTAGTTTTGTTTACTGTGTTAATATATTTCTTGTTGAACTTCATTTTTTGTTTGTTATAGTTTATTATATACTTTAAATTGCTTATCCGAATTGCTCTACTTTTGTCCGCATTAATGGTTCTTAATTTATTAAAGTTAATTGTATGCATTTTAAGTAGTTCTCATAAGTTTTGTTATTTTGTTTATCACATGGTTACTATTATTATTTTATTTGGTTATCTTTTGGGATATTACATGTTGCTTTGTTGGTCATTTTATTAATTTTATATGATAGTGTTGAAGTTATTTTCATTTGTTATTATTTACTTATTTTTTAATTATTGATTTGTTATCTCTTCTCTTTTGGTAGCTCCTGTTAGGAAAATCCCAGATTTTAATGGGTCTTGGTCTTGATATGTTAAATTTGATTTTACGCACTTTAGTATTATTATTTTTTAGAATTTTCTAGTAAGTAAAATTATTGCACTTTGGTTACTGTTTTGTTTTTAGCTAGTGCATGTTATTTTATAATATTGTTTGTGAGTTGCATGAATTATATATTTTATTTGTTAAAATTGGCCAATGAAAAAATCACTCCGTCGATTTTAGAGGCCTTTCCCATTTTAAAAGACGGAATTTTAGTTTAAGTTTATATATTTTATTTGTTAAAAATGGCCAATGAAAAAATCTCTCCGTCGGTTTTAGAGGCCTTTCCCATTTTAACATTGTAAAAGACGGAATTTTAGTTTAAGTTTATATATTTTATTTGTTAAAATGGCCAAGCCCCCAAGGCCTAGCTCAAGTGGCAAAAGGTGGAGAATTTGTGGCTTAGGTCACAAGTTCAAGCCCCACACCATGCAAAGCGAAGCCCGGTATTTAAGTGGAGAAGGGTAGAGGGGCGGACCCATTATCCACCGAGTTTAGAAGGCTGTGATTGGTCCAAAGGGCGGGTCACAGACGGATTTCTCGGTTATCAAAAAAAAAGGGCCAATGAGAAAATCTCTCCGTCGGTTTTGGAGGCCTCCACATTGTAAAAGACGGGAATTTAGTTTAAGTTTATATGTACTATTTGTTAAAATTGGCCGATGAAGAAATTACCGTCGATTTCTAAGGCCTCTCATGTTAATAAGACGGATGTTTATTTTTAAGTTATTGTTTAATTCATTTACTTTTAGTCACATTTATTTAGTACTAACACTTTTACTAAGTGTCTTTACAGGTACCTCGAAGTCACTTCTCATCGAAGCCATTCGAATAAAGTTTGAATGTTATATTCATAATTATGTATATTGTTGACGATAGACAAATATTAAGTCGTTTCTCATATTACTTGTTTACTTTATTATGTGTGTATATTGCATGTTTGTTATATTTGTATAATATTTTTACATCCTCCTCAATTTGAAAAAATGAATTCAGTCGGGACCCACAGTTGTGGATTTCGAAGGATGCCTAACACATTCCCTTCGAAATAACTTGAACCCCTTACCTAGAATCTAATGGTTTCGTAGATCCCTTAAATGGTTTCCTATTTTTTCCTAAAATTAGGTGGCGACTTCTTTAAAATTTGTTTATTCTTAAAAAAATTTTAAAATTGAATCAATTATTTATTTTTTAAGTCATCGCGACGTTTCGCCCTATTCGAATAGAGTAGGGATGTAAACAACACCTACACCACGAGCCGTGACTTATTTCTGGTGATGGTCCCATGCTCATCAAGTTTGTTTCTGAAGACCCATCTTGTCCTAATAACAGTTCTGTTTAGAGGTCTAGACCAGGTGCCAAACTTTGCTCCTCTCAAACTAATGAAGTTCTTCCTGCATTGACGTTACCTAGTCTGCATCTTGTAAGGCTTCTTTGATGTTCATTGGCTCAGTAGACAACATAAAAGCTGAGTATGCAACTAGATTTCTTGTTCTGGATCTAGTTTGTATTCCAGAGTCAAGTGGAGAAATGAGATTGCCTAGTGGATGAGAAGATTGATGTTTCCATCCAGACTTTCTGATAGACTCTTATTCCACATCGGCATCATCATCTTCTGGATTTTGAGATGGAGTCTCCTGGGTAGTGTCTGAAGGACCAAGTTCTCCTGTGAGTTCTGCACCATTTTCTTTTGCAACCTGTTTGTTTCCAGGATTTTGGATTGCCTTGTCCTCCATTTCTTTGATCAGCTCCTCCATTTCATGGTCTCCCTTGTGAACATCAATTTTCTCAGACTCATTAAAAGTCATATGCATGCTTTTTTCAACACAAAGTGTTCTTTTGTTAAACACCCTATAGGCCTTGCTAGTAGATGAGTATCCTATAAACACCCCTTCATCACTCCTTGCATCGAACTTGCCCAGGTCATCTTTTCCATTATTTAATACATAACATTTGCACCCAAATGGCTTAAGGTGAGCAATTGAGGGCTTTCTGTCATTCAACAATTCGTAGGGTGTCTTCTTGATCATTGACCGGATAAGAGATCGATTTGTAACATAACATGTTGTGTTGACCGCTTCTTCCCAAAAGTTCATTGCAAGCCCTGAGTCAATCAACATGGTTCTTGCAATATCAATAAATGTCTTGTTCTTTCTTTCAACTACCCAATTTTTCTGAGGAGTTCTTGGTGCAGAGAAGTTGTGATTGATTCCATTTTTAGCGCAAAAACCTTTAATTTGAGAGTTATCAAACATTGTTTCATGGTCAGACCTAATACTAGCAATCTTGCAGTTGACCTTTAGTTGAATGGCTTTGGCGAAAGTAATCAGAACTCCAGCAGTCTCGTTCTTTTTTCGTAGAAACATGTTCCAAGTGTACCTGGAAAAATCATCAACAACTACAAGAATATATTTCTTACCTTATCTGTTTTGAATTCTGACAGGTCTACATAGATTCATGTGGAGAAGCTTTAAAGGTCTGGTCGTGCTCACTCCCTTCTTAGCCTTGAAAAATGAACGTGTTTGTTTTCCTCTTGCACATGCATCACATACTTTATCATTTGAAAATTTCAGCTTTGGTAATCCGCGGACTAGGTCTCCTATAACAAGCTATTTTAGTAAAAAGGTACTTACATGACCCAGTCGTCGATGCCATAGATTTGCATCGTCAGCTTGAGCACTTAGGCATGAAAGGTTGTCCCCTTCAATAGAGTCAAGATCAGGCGTACATATTCTTGACCCTTTTTGCAGACATCACAATTCATTTAGTTGCACAGTTTGTAACAATACACCCATCAGACATGAACTTGACTTAATTTCCCTTGTCGTAGATTTGAGATACGCTCAAGAGATTGTATTTCAAACCATCCACATAGTGTACACTGTTTAAGGAATGGTCTACTGTTCTTCCTATCTTCCTAATGCCAAGAATAAAACCTTTCTTTCCACTGCCCACCACTTTGGTGTGCTTCCAAAGAGAGAAGTTTAGAGTGTTTCCAGTCATATGCCTTAAGCATCCACTGTCCATGTACCAGCACTTACTATTTCCTCTCTTCTGTATAAGAATACTTATTAGACTTAGGAACCCACTTCAAACGGAGTTCCCAAAAACTGTCGAAAGGCTTAATGAGAAACCTTCCTGTCCATGGGGTAAAGTGTTCTTGCTAAAATGGTAACCAGGACCACCAGGTACCCATTTCTTTTTCTCAATGACTTTTCTTGATTTAAGAAACTTCTCCTGACTCTCTTTTACTTTCCTCAGTTTCTCACATTGTTCTTTTAGATGACCAGTTTTGTCATAGTGAGTACACAAAAGGTTGTCTGAGACAGATACATATTTACTATGTGGATTGTAAGGAGGCTCTATCTGTCTACAACCTAATCCCTTTCTGCTGTTGAACTGTTGACTTGCTAAGTTCGTGAGAATTTTAGATGAGTCAGTCCATTTTAGAGAGTGGTTCAATTCTTCCTTGATCTTACATAGATCCTTCACTATCTGAGAATTTCTTTCTAAGGAGGCAACTAACTTGGACTCAGAGGTCTTAAGTTTTTCTTCTAGTTCAACCTCAAAGTCGCTGAGTTTCCTCTTCTCCCCCTTAGAGGTACGAGGTCCCTCACTGGTTCCAGACTATCAGTCTCAAAGATACATATTCTGACACTTGATTCAGACATTTGAGCATTAAGAGCTGAGTTTTCATCCTCGCACAGATTCAACTTTTCACTTATCATCATATTTTCAGAGGTCAGTTCATCAACTGAGTCAATTAATAAAGTAGCAAATTTTCTCAATCTATTGATAGGAAGAGTAGCTAGATCATCTTTGAGATCGGGAAGAGTTACCTCATTTAGATCCTCTTCATCGTCAGATTTTGCCATTAGAGAGAAAATAGAGTTGTAGACAGTCTCATCATCTTCTACAGTCATCATTAAGACATCTTTAGGGCTGTCTATCTCTTTTTCAGACTCATTGGATGCATTTCCCCACATTGCCAGAGCTTTCTTCTCTAGTTGATCAGCATGAGCTTTCCTTTTGGCATGATCTAGGACCTGGTCCTTTCTACGAGGTCTGAAGTCCTGAGTTTCCTGCTTCTGGCTAGGACAGTCCCTCATAAAATGACCAGGTTTGCCACATTTTATGACAAAGATCATTTGCGTTTGCTGCTCTGCTGGTCGAAGCCTTCTTTTGAAAGCCTTCATGCTTCTTGATGATCTTTTGAAACCTTCTAGTAACGTAGGCCATTTCATTCTCTTCCTCAGTCACATCATTTTGAGAAGTTTTCAGAGTAATCGATTTCTCCTTCTTTCCCTCCTTCATGCTTGTCCCCAGTTGCTTGTTCAACTCATAGGTTTGAAGATTGCCAATTAGTTCATCCATGGCAAGTGTCTTTAGATCTTTTGCTTCTGTTATAACATTCACTTTGCTTTCCCATGACTTGGGAAGCACTTTGAGAATCTTTCGAACATGTTTACTCAAGGGAATAGGCTCACCAAGGCATCTCAGCTCGTTAGTTATGGAAGTGAATCTTGAGTTCATCTCAAATATAGTTTCACCTTCTTTCATGTAGAAATTCTCGTATTGAGTTGTAAGCATGTCGACCTTTGACTCCTTCACTTGTGTTGTTCCCTCATGAGCAGTTTGAAGACAAAACCATATCTCCTTGGCTGTCTCACTGGCAGAGATTCGGTTGTACTCGTCTGATCCGATTCCACATACTAGAATCTTCTTTGCTTTATAATTCTTCTCTATCTTCTTTCTATCTGCTTCATTGTACTATTTTCTGGTTTTGACAACTGTTGTAGTGAGCTCTCCATCTTTCACTTCATTCGTAGGAATGTATGGTCTGTCAAGAATCACGTCCCACAGCTCAGTGTCTTCAACATTGATGTAGTCATGCATGTGATTCTTCCACCACCCATAGTATTGTCCATTAAAACGGGGTGGTCTGGTAGATGACTGATCTTCTTCCATATTGGGTGGTGCTGCCATTCCTTCAGGATCTTTTCTTTTCTTGGTGTTACCCAATTCGAAAAGTCAAGCTCTGATACTACTTGTTGGAATGTATGCGTCCATCGCTTTCAGTGGGACTAGGTCCTCAACACAATTATAATAACAAACAGTAAAATAAATGCTGAAAGTAAAGATTGCACACACAACTTTATGTGAAAACCTCCTTGCTCAAGGGAGTAAAACCACGACCTGTCTCACAGGAATTTTCAAACTGCTTTTTACTAATCTTCTCCAAGCAAAAGTAAAAACAAGTTTACAAAATGAGATTAACCTTCTAATCTCCACACTAAATAATACCTCATATTACTTAGATGAGCCTAAGCAGATACAACACTGCATACTATACTAATCCTAGCTGATTAATATAGACTTTAAAGTAAGACACTACGTTACTCACAATCTATTTCTTACAATGATTCACACAAGCTTGAAACGTTTCTATCACATACGAAACGATTCCTACAATATAAGCACGATTACAAGTAATCAAAGTAACATCTGGTACAAGAAGTAATGAAGCACGCGATCAGGTCCCTGCTGTTTTGAAGCTTGATATATCTCTTTTTGAATGAATGAATAATCTTGTTGTTTACATTTGAATATATTAGTCATGAAGAATTATTATCCAATGTACAAATAGCCTCGTCGCTTCTGATTGGTGTAGTACACTGCAACTCCACCAACTTTATGACGCAGACAACCTTTCCAGCTATACATATAACACTGGATGAGCATACTCTGCAGAGGACTAAATCCCTGCACTTGTGAGGAGATCATCAAAACATCTAGGAAGCGTTAGCACTTATCACTGTGCTCAGCATGGTGAGAAAAATTACTGCAAGAGCACTTAGTTTGTCAAATATCAGATCCATACTAAACCACAAATACACAGGAGTAAAAAGTTAGGTTTATTTCTACATGGTAACTGCTTCAAGCTGTTGGTT